GTCTGCTATCCTTCAGGGGAAGCATCATTTCAACATTTAACTAATGACTGATGGCCGGGCAGCCAAATGCCTGTCCTCTCTCCTCCGGCACACACACACACACACACACACACTACCGCACACAGAGAAAACAGAGGTCACCTCAACCCACCACAGCTAGTAACTGGCCACTTCACACACACACACACACACACACACACAGCACACAGTCTTAGGTGTTTGTACACAAGGATACGGTTTAAGCTCTGGTAACACCTCCTGCTGTATGTGCTGTCAAAAATATTAAGTTAAGTTGTTACGAGTGCACTTGTTTTTTTTGTTTGAAGTGACCCTTTAAAGGCTGCGGTGTATTTGAAGGACAAATCTCCTCTGTGAGGTGCAAAGACACATTTATAGCTGCAGCATATCTGACACTAATCATCAAATCATAACACACATACATCAATAATTGCCTAATTTTACACTTAAAGATAAAGATACAGAAAAATAGTAATGCATGGCGAAAACAGCATGACCCCCAAAATTTCACAAATTATGTTTTCAGGGGAGCTCATGTCTTACTAAGAAGAACCCAGCCCCCCTGCCTCTCCTGTAGTTTGCACCCTGAGGTTGGTCACTGACTGAAACACAGTTAGATAGCTCTCTCACAACTTGACTGCACACCATGTTGCATCTCTGTTGTGGAGCACTGCTGCTCGCTGTGTACTCTTACCTTGACAGTCAAGACAGTTTGCAATTGATGAGTAGCTCAGTGACTTATTCAACACTCTGCTGCTTCATGCCTGTGCAGAGTCCATGCCAATAGGAAAAGGACTTAGAGGATATGGAAACAGTTATATAATTAGGTTTTGATGACGGGCTTAAAGGGGCAGTGTGTGGGATATAGTGACATCTAGTGGTGTACTTGCAAATTACAACGCCCTCACCTCACCCTCCTGTTCCAAGCATGTAGGAGAAACTAAGGTGGTTACAAAACATGCAAAAACCGTGAAAGGCCCTATCTTAAGACAGTTTTTGGTTTGTGTGTGTTCTGGGCTACTGTAGAAACATGGTGGTTCAACATGGCGGACTCCATGGGAGAGGACCCGCTCCCTCTGTAGATAAATGGCTCATTCTATGGGAACAAAAACACAACAATTCTTATTTTCAGGTGATTATACACAAATGAAAACATACCTATGAATATTATATTCCATTTCTGCCATTGGAGTCTCCTAAATGTTGCACACTGGACCTTTAAGAGTGTGTATGATGTGCACAAACACACCCCAACATGGACAAGGAGACAGAGCTGATGTGTCAAACCGTGTCACCATTTTGTCATGGTGTAAAAATGGTAAATGGTGCCGTGTTTGGCAATGTCTCCTTTGGGTTGACTAAAAATACACTGAATCCATCAAGCGCAGCAGTGGGGTAGACAGAATGAATGAACCTCTGAATGACTCTGAGGTGTCATTTACAGAGTGTCTCTTCAAACTGCCTTTAACTGTATGAAAGTTTGTGACACTCCCTCTCTTCCTCTGTCTTGAAGTGTTTTATGAACAAAGAGAAAAAGTGAGCGTCTGTGTGTTACAGAAGGAATATATTCGCATTCACAAGTCAACACAGATCAGTGAATGGGGCGTCAATGAAAAAATAATCCCTTTGGGTTCAGGAACAGTATGCGTTTGAGCTTTGACAGATCCTCTGCAGGAGATCTGTAAAGGATGAAATGTTGCTTTTCATGTACATGAGCAAACAGTGGCAGACTGAGGGGGTGGGCAGCAGCTGCGTGTGGTGGGTCGCCAGTGCAGAGAAAGCTGTGTAGCATCTATGGTGAAACCGTTCCAAATTCTGGTTAAGATAAATTTTCATTTTCATTATATGACTCAGATTTTAAGTATATCTACACCTCTGGCATAAAAAACAGAGAACTATGAACTATTTAACCATTTAGAGGTACAGCATGCCCACAAGTCTCCCCTTTGCAGAGATGCCCACTTTACGCTAATGTCATGCAGTTTTTTTGTGGTATAAATGTTATTTTTACTTAGTGTATTTGAATATTTCTGCATACTGGGACCCATAAACAGTACTGGACTTGCATAAATTGGGAATGACTGGAAAGCGGAGACACATACTTCATGCCTCGTCTGCTTAAGTCAGTGCCTAACTTTTGCCACCTCAGTCAAAAAAGTCTGGAAATGGCCCTGACAGCATGCCTAGAGGGCACTTTATCATGTTTTATGTACCATAGGGGCATCTGGGAGGGCACTTTTGCGCTCTATCTTCGGTAGACTTCGGTAAAGTGGACTTAAAACTTTGTAAAAAAAATAAGCTAAAAGTAACTTTTTGCAGAGTTTAAGTGTGGACTACAGTGCTGAAAGATAAGGACTACAATCAATATTCAATATATTGTAACACATAACAGAAAACCTTGTATTGTTTTTGTATTGTTCTTGGGAAATTAGTCAATAATATAAGCATTTATTAGTTAATTATTATAAAAGCTTTGATTTTTCACTTATTAATGTATCAGATATATGCTATTTGGGATAATATTCATAAAAATCTTCAAGTTAAGAATGTTACAATAACTATTTTAACCTATGGAGCTCTTATGGAGTTATATTGTTGTATAATGTTTCTGTTTTTCCAAAACTGAGAACCTAAACCTGAAAGCACCAAAACAGTCAAACAATGGGAGTGTATGTAAAGTATATAAAATAGTGCCTGTTAACACAACAATCTAAATATGTGTTGGTGATATGGATAAAAGTTAATATCCTGTTCAGCATTACAGCATATTCTATGTCAACATGTAATATTATGAGATTCTATATAATTTACCAAAATCACAGTTAACTTCTAACAATAATGTCCTTGAGTCATGAAAATCAAAAGTAACACAGTAAAAAAAAACACAGTATATTATTATTTGCACAATATTCATTTGATTTATTTACATCTAATTTACATAACATTAACTATTCACATGGTACATGAAATATGATTATATTGTTGGATAATGTAAAGAAATTATTATGAAGTTTGTCTTATATTGCATTGTACTATTCAGCCCACAGTGAGAGACTGCATTGGATGTTCTGGTTTTATTATTGTCTCATTCACTCTGAACTGTCTGTCTATGTCTTGATTTCGATGCAAAGAGGCGGTGACAACTGTGCGCATGCGCAAGAGCTTGTGTGCAGGGAATAACGGAACAGATTATATAAACTGTCCAACTTTAGTGTCCACATGTTGATGAGCTGTCTGTCAGCTGTAGAGACAGTCTCCTTCAGCACCAGATGGGTCCATAATGATAAAACACACACAGCACGATCCATTTGGAGGCAGGGAATTTTGGTGCACACCTCCTTCTTGTGTTTTTTATGCCTGCTGTAGTGCAGAGCTGAGCGAACCATCACCTCAGTGGATCCTTATTATCTCCCACACCATCAGCAAACTGGTCTTTCAAAACACTGACATGAGAAGGTGTATAACCTGCAGCCGCTGTGAGTCTCTGATCTCTAACTTCTAGTTTTAGTGTTATACTTTGTGAAGACCTTTTTCACCAAAAACCTAGGGACCTAAAGGTTAGAACTGATACGCTCCAATATAAATATATATATAAATATATTTTCTTCTGCTTCTTCTCTCGGATAGTTAGGAGCTACTTTTAGCTAGAGCCTAAGATTGATTTTTGTTTTTTTGAAGCTAAACCATATTATCTTGATTTTTGTTGTTGATCTCAGCTCTCAGCTCAGTCCAAGAACAAAATCCAGTTTCAGCCATTTTAGGCTTTAGTGTGCTGTGTTAATAAATTATTCTGCCAAAACATACTTACACATTGATATGGAGAAAGAGCTGAACGACGTTTCTACTTATAACACTAACAGTAGCACTATTCCATATACAGTATTCTAAAAAGTAACTTTAGAAAGTATTAAAATCATAAACTCTCTTTAAGGTTTTTTCTGTGGATAGACTGTACCTACAGACCTACATTTCTCAGGTCTCCCTCTTTTTCACCTCCTCTTGCTGCACAGAAATACTGGCATGCATCACACTACCTTGCAATCAGAGCTCACAGGCATTTTCACAGCTTGAATTTGGAATACTGAATTCATTTCTACTGTGACACAAAGAGAAGCTGTCAGCCGCTACCTGAAATTAGAGCTGAAACTGTGCTATTTAGGCCAGATTGCCAGATGTAGAAGTTTGTGAAAGAAGGCCGTTTGAGGAAACTGTTACATGTGTCCACATAAAGCCTTCGAGTGCATTTGGGCAGTTAGATTTGTTATTTAAGAGGTGTGACGGATGAATACATCTACCCCACAAGCCACTTGGGATAAACAATATACAAGGGAAAATAGGAATATCTTCTTTGAAAGCAGCAACAGCCTGTAGTTTATTACAAGGCTTTAGTAGTTGTTTTTCCTCCTCCTCTATAGTTGAAAAGCACCCAAGGGCATGTTGGCGAATATGTGATTGTTATTTTCATTCCTACACCATCTTGGGCCAAAATGTAAAGAACAATGATCAGACTCTGAGTTTTCTTATCTGAACCTGATAAAAAAAAAAAAAAACGGTCTCAATTAAATAGCCGCAAAATGTTGTTACCTGAACTTGCTGAGGTCACAAGAGCTAGGCAAAGTGCAAACATGTCCTCATCCACCACCTTATTGATTCTTTGGCCGTCCAATCACCACAGAAATTGAGTTAGCCTGGGTCGGACCGGGTAAGACGCCAAGAACACCCACTTTCTTATTCCTACATAAGGAATAAAATACTGAAATATCCTTGAGCAGCTAACCCCGACCTCCCTGTGGAGGGGGAAAGCAAAAGGAGAATTCTCTCCCATCCAGGTTGGTCCCTCACAAAGGTCTCATAGTGACCTCATGTGGCAGTGTAGAGGTACTGCAGTTTGGATGCAAAAATCATCCTTAAATAACCTTTGTGTTCCTGTGTGACTGAATGTGAAGGAGTGGAACAAAAAGAAGACAGAACCAAGAGCAGAATACCTTAAATTCATTTACTTAAATTAAAAAATGTACATCACATTATCCTTTACAATAGACATGTCTTTTAAAAACTCAAGTGGTTTTTTTGTGTTCTTCACTGTACATTTTAATCATTTGTATACAAATTCCTCTTTGACAAAAAAAAAGGGGAAAAAGAGGAAGTCATTATAGCAACTGTCACAGATGACAAATTAATTACTCACTGTAATGACTGCAGTGTTTCCCAGTTACACTTGGGCTTTAATTTGCAATTCACTGACTGTACCAAGTCTTATGAGCACTGTCTCAGTCCATTAAAACAGGACCGAATCCTTGAGATTTATTTTATCTTCTTAAATTTACTTCAGTCATAATGTCAGATTCAGGCTGTTTGCAGCCTGAGACAATTCATTTGTAAATTGTCCAAGATGAGACAAGGAGCCCTGGTACAGTTTGTACTGTACACTCAGCGTGGATCACTTGAAATGCTTTTGGAAAACCCTTAATTAACATTTACACACAGTTAGAGGAACTACATATTTAATACAACAGCGAGGACACCAGCTTAAACGGAGGGGACCTTGAGAGGACAACACCACTGTTTTTGACGAGGTTCCTGTCGCTTGTAACAGCAGTTAAACCCTCAAACCGTTCTGTAACGTTTGCCAGTAGTGAGATACCCAGTATGGCAGTCTTTATGTGCAGCTTACCATTCGTAACATTAAAAGAATATTTCGACATTGTGGGAAATGTTTATTTCACTTTCTTGCAAGTTAGATGAGAAGGTTGATACCACTTTTATGTTTAATTTAGCACAGATTTGACAGAGCTAAACATCACCGCTCGACAAAAGAGGCAAGTCCAAGGGCAGCAGTCTGTGGTAACAGCAGGACAGAGGAAAGGGAAGGGTGTAGAAGTTTTTAGACAGTACAGATTACAGCCAAATTGTCTGGAGAGAAAAAATAAAAAATGCGGGCCAACATACCATGACAAAAGTGTGGGAGAGTGTTTTGTAAGCTCACAAAGTAGTCGTCGTTTTAACTTTGTTAAAATCATGAAGTTTTACATTTCTAACAGCAAGTAGTCAAGACTTCTTACGTATGTGCCTAAGTGCATTTAAACTGTGACGCAATTGCTTAATTAACTTAGAAAAAAGTGAACAAACTTTAACAAAAGAAGCTTCGATTCAGCAAAGTGATTATTTATTTCCACCTCTACTATAAATACCTACAGACTCTGTCCAAAGGTAGCAAAATATGCGCTAAGCTAACTAAGCTAAGCTAAACATCTGCTAGCATTAGCTTCATATTTAGCGTACAGACATGTGTGGTATCAAACTTCCCATCAAGTTCTCGGCAAAAATATCGCACTGATCCTTTAAAATTTGCTGTCTGCTGTTCTCCAAAGTGCCTTACAGTAATGAGTGCACACATTTTATTAAAAAAAAAAAAAACCAATGTGAATCAAACTTCTGTTTTACATCTGCCTTTCTTTACACTCTTCAAAAGAAATGTGCATTATAGGACAAAGTAAATGTCAAAAACACTGATGTTGCCATTTCAGTCCACCATGACCATCTCTGCTCTGTATGAAGCCTGTGTTTTACTGCAAATGACACTGCACTGTAACCAAGTACTGTGATGTTGGATATGACAATTTACATGCTGGATGAGGTTTAAAATACTGCTCTTGTTGTCACTATGGTTTGAGTTGCCTGTTGGTTAAACGGTGAGCAGAAATAGTCATGTGAGGGATGCAGAGCCAATGAGAGCTGAGACATTAATTCAAGAACAGCAGTCCAGTCTTCATAACTCCAGAGTCAAAAGGAATTCAAACTGGGTTAAGAAAAAAACAAAAAACAACAAAATTAATTTTTACAACCTTCTGTAAACATGAGCGTAGGCAGAATATGGCAGAAAATTAAAAGATTTGGCAAAAGAAAAAACAACAACATCAACATAATCCTAGACATTTAGAACGTGATACATTCTGTGCTTTATCTGAGTGCAGCCCTGTTAGGGTCTCCCAGACGCCACGAGAGCTGCTTTCAGAGTTAACAGATTACAAAAAGGCTTCAGGTAAAAGCTTTAAGACTACAACGAGCCATCCATTCACACAGTGAGACAGCATTAGTTACTTTACTGGTTTCGCCTGCTCTAACATCCAACAGGTTTCCCCTCGTTCATGGATCAAATTCATTACTAAACAAAAATAGAAAATCCATGTCTGGGAAAGCTGGCTGTTAATAATAACAGGCCAAATCATACAAATGGATGTCAAAGAAAAAAATATCCATCCTTAATTAGTTTGAACTAAAAATAATAATGTGGTTCACTAAACTGGTCCATTGCTTCTCTGGCAATTTCATATCCAGCTCTGTTGATTCAAATTGGTAATGATAAGAGGACTTGAATAGACTTTAAGAGAAACCTTGACATTTTTATTCCAAAGGGGGATAACGGTGGTTCTTTTGAGGAAAGAAGTGACACAACAGTGATTAAGGATTGTCAAACTAAAAAAAAAAAGAAAGTGTCGGGTGAGTAAAAATGACCAGAACAAAAGTAAATATTCAAATGTCAAGGTCTCCCTTTGAACAGAGTTTTGTAACATTTACAAGGAAACTAAAGCTTGTGCTGCTGGGCATACAGTAAATAAGAGTTGGGAGTGTGGAATAGCTACTCTACTGTCTCTCATACTGAAATCTGAAGAGAAATCATCACCTCCAGTCCCACACCCCATCTCTATTCATCTCTCAAAACACGGTGAAGTGTCAGGTGTAGTTTGGCATTATATTTCTACCTATCAAACCATTCTGCAAGAGCAAAGTCCAGCTTTAGTCTTGCCAACAGTCTCTTAAAATAAAGTGACACTGAAATATTCTTTTCAGTATAGACCTTCATCCATATACTTCATAGACTAACAATAAAAAAAAAAATTAAAAAAGAGCCTACATTTAGATGATCTGGAACAAGTGGAAGAGCACCCAGATGACTCTCACTCTCTGTGACTTTACAGATGAGTGAAAAAAATAAGCAAACAAACCAAAAAGGAACTAATTAGGCATGTCTTATAGCTCCTCATCCTGGTTTTCGGACTTAAAAAATGGACTTGCACTAATAAATCCAGAATTTATATTACTACTTACGTAACATCAAACAGCCTGACCAGCTGCGCCTATAAGCAAGTGAGATTACCCTATCAGGAGGAGACATGTTTAATGGATATTTCTGCACTGCTCTCGGACAATCAGGTTTAGCTGTATAATTCAAACGCTGAACTAGGGCAACATTATAATGTGCGAGGCCACAGTGATGTGAAATTAATCCGTCTGCGGTTTTATTTTCAAGTCAAAGTACCTTCTTCTTTTATGGTCCGTTTGAAGGTTGTCTGTCTGGTTGCAGCAGACATCAATCTGGCAAGAATACAACGTGCGTGGACCTCATTTGTGCGGCACTGAGACCAGCAGGATGTGACCTGTGCCGGCTCAAGCAGTCAGACAAAAGAGAAATACCATAGGACATACCTGTGGAACCATTTGCTAACACTGACCATGGATTCCATCTGAAGTAGTGAGCATTTCAAGTCTATACACTGCAACATAAATGTCAGGAATTCCAGTTAACGTCCTAATAAAGTGCAGGGAGAATACCATTGATGGGGGAAGAAAAGAAGAAACTCTCTCTATATATGTACAGATTGTGCCTTGATCTCCACTGTGACACAGCTCTAAATGGCAGTCAGTGTTTGAACCATCTAACAGTGGTTGTGCTCTCGTCTCGGACACAATCAGCAGCTCCAGGACCACCACTTACTCATCCCAAAGGCTGTTTGTTACAAAGACAGATTTCAAAAGAAAGGCATTTTTGAGAAGAAAAAAAAAAAGGAAACGAACATTTCACTACACGTTTCACATACGCACACTTACAAACACCGAAGCAGATGCTGAACACGGCAGCGTACATTTTCTGTTTGTTAGATCGACAAAGACGACTAAAACATACTGAAGCTGCTGAACTGTGTCTAGAAAATAGAGGGGAAACAAACTCAAGAAAGTAGACAGCAGCAATGTAAACTAACAAAGGCTCTGTGTCAGTCAAATGGTGATCTGACGTTTTCACAGCTAATACACATAAAAAAAAAACAATCACTGACCACTCGCACACTTATAATTTTGTTGGGCTACGCTAGGAGGCACCGATCAACCAGTTAAATGTCTAAATATTTCAACATTAATAGTTGTTTTTGCACTGATTTATGAAGCTAACACTTACATGTTTGTTCCTACAGATGTCTGGCAGTTGAAAGCACCTCTTGTTTTATCTTCTAATTGTTTCATGATATTTATTTTACAGCCAGGTTGAGCACTTCTTGAAATCCTCCTACCACAGCAGAAGTCACTCCACTGACTGAGGGATAAAGAGAAAAATAGAGCCACTTGACGCAATTTAAGAGCTTAAGTCCGGCCTACACACACACACACACACACACACACACACACACACACACACACACACACACACACACACACACACACCCACCCACACATGCAAACACAGAAACAAGTAAGTCAGGAAACTCAGTCAGCCAGTCAGTTGGTCAGTTAGGCGGGGAGGGGAGAACCAGCCCCCCTCGCCAGCCTTCTGCTGATTGATAAAAACCACACCGATCCTCACTCCTCCCAGAACCAGTGAGTGGATTTTGTTTGTTATCCGACACCCACGTAAAGTGTGTGATGCAACTAAATCCCAACTGCGCAGACATGTAGCTGACACGCCCACACACCCCCTCCGACGTGACCTAAACAGGAAGTCCACCGATGACTATCGATAAGGAAGCCGATGCTCATCACAAAAGGAGGACGAGGAGGAGGAGCAGAGCAGAGCAGAGCAGAGGAGTGTGGTGTTTGTTTTTTAAAAGTATCTTCCAGTCCAGTTGAATCTCAGGAGGCCCTCTCTCCCCAGACTTTAGCCCCAGTGTGGAAATGAGCTGCAGGCAGTCTAGAGCTCTGCGCTGGCCGGTGGTTTTGTGGTGGTCATGATCTTCATGTACTGGGTAAAGATGGCCTCGAAAGCCTCGTCTCTGTGGATCATGGCACCAAACACCAATGGCTGGGGGAAAACAGAAAAATGCTTATTAATATCTACATCTTACATGTTACAGCAGCAATAGTTGGTAAGAGTTTATGCAATACAGCACCAATGAGTTGAAATCCCAACAAGGATGACAGTAAAGAATATCTTATGTCCCTGAGTAACACGCCACAGAATGTTCAATGGAAATTAACATTTATTACCACAACCAGACACCACAGAAGGAGAAAAAATAAACAAAAAGCTAAATTATGAAAACTGAAGCTATGGGAGTCCTTGAAAGTGTTCTCGCGCTCTGATTTGTTGCTGCTAATATGCAACGTTACCTAGCAACTGGAATTGTGATCTAAAATGGTATACAGTACAGTATATACAGTGCTGCCTATGGAAGTTTCCAATATGGTATCCAGTGGTAAAAAAACAAAAAAGCCTCAGCACTTCAGCTCTGTTTGCAACTTGCCATTATCTTAAAGCTAAGTAAATAAAGACCAAACTTGCAATCACAAATGAATGAAATTCAACAGCAGTTCATAATTAAAGACGTTCCAACATTTGAAATAGCAATGTCAGGTTAGGAGCCAAATATAAAATCAATGTTAAGATCTACTCAAAATGTTTTCTTTATTGTCACTTTATCACTTGTTTGAGCTTCACTGGGTAGAATAACTTATGTTTAGTAAGAGTTTGACCTGAGACGCACGCTCCCCTTGTGTTTTTCCTCCCTCCTTTCTCTGCTTACTCTCTCAGGTGCTCCTCATTAGGGATGATTGGTTTGGTGGCCCAGGCCCCATATTGAAGGGCGGCTAGAGAAGCAGTAACTCTCTTCAAGACAAAGCTGCCTCTAATCTCATCAGTGTTAGCTTCTTTTGCTCTTTATTTTTGTTTTGTTTTTTGAGGACTGAAATCTGGTAGTTATTTTAGTTACAATGTTTTTGATAGTGTAGGTGGGGAAGCTCTGGGTCCTACGGCACACTGTGTGGCTTCCTCCATCCCTTTCTTCTTTTAGCAGGATTTTGTGACATCAGAACTAGTTTAGTTTGTCAAGTCAAGCCTGGTAAATGTGGAAATTTTAAACCTCTAGCACACGCGCGCGCACACACACACACACACAGAGAATGGACTTTTAGTGAAACATGAGAGATCTTGTGTCCAGTAGTTTTAAAATGTACAATATTTATATATTCATAGATCCTGGATTTTTTTTAATGAGAGAGAGGGAGCAGATGTAATATCAAGAATCTTTAACTAGATAATTAGAAAAGCCATATCAGACAAATTATCATTCAAAGCAGAGTATTTTTATGTCTTAGAGCAAGTCTAGAGGGGATCTTGGAGGTAAAAGAACATTAGGAAAGTGCTGAAGACATTTCTGCGAGGCCACAAACTCATCTAAAATCAGGTATCTGCAAATTAAAGATATTGCTTGACTGCATAATTGAAATGGATTGTACAACCCATCTGAATAAAGAATAACTTCTGAGTACACAGAATCTAATAAATTCCAAAAGCCACCATATAAATCTAAATAGATTGCATACTGTACCTTCTGAGTGGACGGGGTGGCTATTGAGATACCCATCCCACTTCCTGGTAGAACTGACAGCACTTTGTACTGGAGGGGTTCAGAAAAAGAAGAGGTTATGATTTTTAAACGCACATTATTATGAGAATGAAAAACTCAGCAGGTACATAACCTCATGCCAAATCACATTCAAGTTTGTAATCCCTATATAATGGTTAATGTGTCCTCCTGCACCTTTTTCAAACTGTCCACTTTTATTACCTTTTGGATGTCAGTGATGTCCACCAGCTTGATAACTTTATTCTTCTTGGATGAGCTGGATCTGGAGCTGGAGCTTTCAAAGCAAAGGTAACTGACGGAGAGAAAGACAAAAATAGCTTGCTGAAAGGGGTCTCGAGGAAAAACAAGCACGCAAGCAAAACTGACAACTAAATGGACTTCTTGTCAGTTACATATCCAAAGAGGTGAAGAGATTTATAGATAAAAGAGATTCTCAGGAGGAGGGCTGTCCTACTTGATCCACTGTTGACTGACTGACAGTCAGGGAGGGAGAAGGAGGAGATGGTGCAGCTCTTAGTAAAGAACCACCTGATTCTCCTCTCTGCTCCACCTTAAAAAGTAACTCCTTTTTCTCCCCTGCAGTAAGAGATTTAATGATAAAAGATGCTCTCCTGAGAGAAGATGTCCCACTTACTTCTCTGTGACGTAGAGCACTCCGTTCCTGATGTAGTCAGTGGGCATCTTCCGGTCTCTGTTTATGAGGCAGCACCTCCAGCCGTTCTCACACACTGAAAACACACAGAGCAGTGAGAAAGTTGTTTGCTGTACCAGTGATAAAAAAAAAAAATCAACCTGAAGAACTGAGATTTTTGCTTTTGTTAGCTCATGATTACAGTTTGTAGTCTGCTCAAAATAGTTTTTACTTCCAACCCCAGAGTTGGATGTAGCATTTCTATGAATGAGACGTGAATTGTGAAAAATGCATTGTAGAAATGTGGATATTTGGTACACTGGTGCAAATGAAAACAGGTAGACTAATGCTGCAGTAAGTCCCCTCACCCGCCAGAGGGCGCTCTGACTCCTGCAGGTTGAAGATCTCGTGAAAGGCTCCCTTCTTGGTGCTGTGGGAGCGACCCGTCTCCTCCTCTCGGCTCACCCCGCATGGGACAGTGGCCAGGCTGCCCCGAGAAACTACCGGCTGAACCTGGAGAGACGGAGGAGGAGGAGGAGGAGGAGTAGGGGGATAAAGAGACGGAAGAAAGAAACAGAATGACGGGAACACGGAAGTCGAAAGAAAAATTGCCATGACGGACATAAAAAGGGCATGTGGGAGAGGAAGAAGACATTCAGGAGGGAAAGAAGACAGTGTGATGATGAGGGAAAGGAGGGAGACAGGGAGACATATTTAAAATCAAGTATCTGACGCCTTCTGCATCACAGTTCAATAGGACTGCATGTTCCCAAAGCTACTGAGAAAAATGGCCAAAATTGACACAGCTTAGGTTTCAGTACAGAATTAGATGCTTCTCTGCATGTGCACTTGTTTGCAGCAGGCTCAGGTGTGGCGTGCAAAGCAGAGTGAGGCCATCATTCACTCAACATACATGGCAACAGATTATAGGCAAAAATGACTTGCTAGTTTGTGGAAAAAATATAAATCAGACTAAAAATGTACCCCAATTTACAGGTTTGGTCAGAGGGATTGTTTTATTGTTCAGTCCTGTGTATCAGTTACAGTAACAGGGTGGAAGGCAATTAACTGACAGCTAACTGCAATTCAATTTTAGGGTCAATTACTACGTGTAATGGAGAACAGGAAGGATTTATTGAGCAAATACTAAATTACAGTGGTCAAGGGGCTACTCTAAGTGCATTTTAACTATTTAGTAAACACACCTCTACTTCTCACAGAGCATTTACTTATGTCAATGGATCAAAAATGTCAACAATCTGGGAATTGTTAATTAAAAGTTCATACATACCAGTACATAGTACATAGTACATATGGATGAAATCATTCAATTTAATGGTAAATAAAATATATATATATATAAATATATAAAATAATGATAAAAAAAAGAGTCATTAAATGACAGATTGTACATTATTTGGACATTTTGATCCATTCTGTTAACAAACACTGACGGCCAATCTCAAGGTGTGTCACACATCGCATCACACACACACACACACACACACACACACACACACACGCACGCACGCTTTGAGGTGAGCTTGAGGCACACCCAGGCGCATTAGAGGAACCAAAGGGAGACACACCAGAGTCCCTACCTTCTCAATGCCAGAGAGCTGAGAGAAAGAAACGACAGAGTACACCTGAGACACAGCAAAGACACATGCACACACGCGCTCACACGCGCTCACACACGCTCACACACGCTCAGTCCTATGAGAGAGACTCACTTTGAATGTATGATAGAAACACACTTTGTGGTATCCTCACAGCAAGGGCACATCATGACAGTGAGCTGCTGAGTTGTAATGTATTATTGACAGGTGGGATATTTTGAAGCTTTATTGATCTCTTTTCTCTCTGTGCCTGACCACAGGGGGGTCAGTGGTGGGAGGTTAGACTGACACTTCAGTAGGTGGATTCTGCCAACATGAAAGATTCAACCCAATCTACAGTTGAAGGATGGTCTCCAACTATCCCTTTCTCAATATAAATGTGTAAATGTTCTGCAGTAATTTTTTTAAACTTCCTTGCTAAACAATGCAGTAGCTGCTTAAGTGTTTTGTGACACAACTCCAAAGCCTCTATAGTTATTAGTCAACTTGTCAACAGGGAAAGATTAAACAGAGTTAGGGCAGCAGGAATAATAATCAATTCAGACTAAGCTGTGTTGACCGATGTGTTTGTATGTTTGTCATTTATGAGTTTAAGAAAGCAGTATCCTGTGAGAGGAGGCGATGAAGGAGGAGGGGCAGCAAAGAGCTGATACAGATGTGTACATTGAGGTGTTTCTGCCTTCTTACCCGCCGTGACACAGTGGCATTGGTCCTCTCTTTGAGCTGAGGGTCTGTGGGAAGGCTGTTCCACACGATGAAGGGGGTGTCGTACTTGTCCCGCAGTTTCGGACAGCTCTTAAACAGGAAGTCTATGATGAAGAACTTGATACCGGCGTACAGGCCTGGAGAGGAGAAAGGGCAAGGAAGGGGGAAAACAAGCACAGACAAAAGGAAAAGGAGAGAACAATCAACATGGAAGGACGGGTTAGCCTGTTCACCTGGTCCTACAATAATCTTACTTTTCAAGGACTTCCATTTTTCAGATGTTTGTATTCTTCAAATTCAAATGAATTCACATGATTCCCTTTCAATACCCTTGACGTTTCAATATTTTTCAGTCAAACATGTTGAATAGATCAGAAGTTTTCTGTGGGTATTCATACAGCCGGTGTTTGCTGGTATTCTTTACTAACAGAAACCAGTCTTGAGGCATGTTGCACATATAACAGCAGATAAGGGTCAAATGGGGAGTGAGTGTGCAAACAAAGTCAGTTCTCTAAACTAACTTGTGATAGCCAAGAACAACACATGAATACCAGGGAGAGTTACTAAACACCAAAAACTCTGAATGTGGTAGCCAACAATGACTTTAAAAAGCTTTTGTTACTGTAATGCCAGCACACCTTTTATTTAAATAGCTCTGATCCTGCTTGATGAAACAATGACATTTTGCAGTCCCTGTCCATAGACCACAAAACTGGTGTGAGCAAGTTTTATGGTGTTTTTACATGTTAAATTATTTTAGCTATAAGCCTCTTGCAAGGATATATGAGCCCACAGCACTTTGGAGCCACTTTGTGTAGAAGAAATAGGAGTAACTAATATTATCAGAAAGGCATACCAATAGCCTGCAGCTGCCCCTCACAGCGAGAGGGAGAGCGGTAACACAAGTGCTGTATGAATGCATTTGTTTGTGTGCGCTGAATTGACTGTTAAGTATTTGCATTCTTTCAAGGGCCAATGCAGGGTGTAGAGTACGTCATAAGGATAAAGAAGCTTTGTCTGTGTGCTTGTATGTCTCTCACCCATCATGAAGCCCATTAGTTTATATGGCAGGACGCAGGAGGTTATGAAAGCCACCCACAGGCAGATGTAAAGTTTCCGGGTGCTCTCTGGCTGTACCCACATGAACAGGCTGACAGATGAATGCACGCAAACACAGAGGAGAGAGAAAAGAAATAAAATATAAGCCAATAGGTCTCATTTTAAGTTTTTGAATACTTGACCACAGTATTTAATCAAATACAACAATGTCTTTTTACTCACTTCTTTATCTTCTCCAAAACATCCGCCATCTTACCAAACAGGTTCTGTAAGGAGAGTTTAAGCACTCTATGAACCAGTAACATTTCATTAACTGTGTACACTGATTTGAGAAGTAACATGAGCTGTCTTGTACCTGTGCTTTTTGTGCAACATCAAGTACAAGCTGGAACTTTTCAGATACAGTCAAGTCTTCCTTTGGAGGCTCCTGTGTAAAACAAAGACAAACATTACTTGGACTTTACCACCACTGAAACACAATACATGACATATGTTTTCTTTCTGACAGACAGAAACAAGAAGCAGTGAATTAATCCTACCATGGGTTCAGAGACCTCAGGCACAATGCTCCACTGGATCCTCCAACCTCTGGAAGAAGATGGAATAATGTACATTTTTATTAGGAATTTTGTTTGGATGAACTTAGCCCACCAAAATATTCTTCTATCTCTAAAGCTTGTGGCTCTGACAGCTTTGCAACCTTCATCACTTTAAAGGGGACCAGGTGTCCCAGTTTGATAGTCCAAGTCCAGACAGATGTCTGACAATTACTAATGTGTCCTCATTTCATAATGACCACCAAAATGCCCCACTTTAAATATTTTTTGTATTTGGCTGTTTGCAGTATGCAACATACAGGAGTTATCTTGTTTTTTCTAATGCATTAGCCAACAATAATGATCATAAACACAGGCATGTGTGCACGTTGTAAAAATCTACCCATCATCAACACACATTTGTTGTAGTAGATTCATGTTTTTATGTGGGAGGTCCACAGTATGCATCTGTTCACCAATAGCACAGCTGTGGCTGTGGTAGTTAGGTTTAATAGGTTTTATTACACAAAGCACACAGAGGACTGGCAGCAGTATAGTGGCCATACAGTAAAAACTGCCACAGTGGCTGCTTTTCTAATATCTGTATCCACTGAGGAGAAACGTGTTTACCTGGCGATGAGGTAATTTAAGGACAAGCGCAGGATAGCCAGGAAGAGTAACATGGGAATGGCCCAGCCATGCCAAGCAGCATTCATGTAGATCTGCAGGAAAAAGGGACATAAGACAGTTCAACATTTCATTTATTGATTGAGGCAATCATATCATAATTTACAGAGCTACATTTCACATGCATTCAATCTGACTAAAGTCAGATGAATTCAAATATTTAAATTGTTTCAGCCCATAATGCAGTTGAACTGTCAGTATTTGAATTCAGTGAGCTGATGCAATGACTCATTTGTAACTGCAGCTTATCCACAGAAACTTCCTCATTTATATATTTTTACAAAACGAGTATTCCCTTAGCTGTCACTTTTACAACTTAGTGGTATACCTTCATAAAAACTGTTACAAAGCTTTATTTGACAGACTCTGTCTGACTTTATGTATGAGAGCTAGACATATTGATCATAAAATTAACATAAAGATTCCCTTTAATGGTGAATAAAAACTGACTTGAAGCGTATAGTTTTGGGTGATGAACTGCTGGTGGATAATGCTATTAGAGTCACCCGTCAACACTAGAGCGGGATCATCTCTAGATACTGAGATGGCCTTGGAGTGTATGGCTAAGATGATTTAGCTTAATCACCGACTGTGGACATTAAGGAAGATCTGATTAGACCTCTGTGGTCTTTGGCAGAACCACTGTTATCCGTCACTGTGGAGCAGAAATTACCATGCCATTCTTTTCATTTCACTGTCTTGTACAGCCAAATGGGTTCATCAGTCAATTTATAGATCACACTTTTTTGTCCATTAAAGCTTAAACTAAACTTAACATAGCTTTGTGTCACTCATAGAAGAATCATAGTTATACTGTATGACAGAAAAATTATTTATAGACACAGCATAAAGTTCAACATAATAGAGTAACGTGTTAGAAATTATGAATAAGAAAAGGGCACACTCACAATGAAGGCAATAGCTGAGGTGTAGACGGAGTGCCAATTAGATAAGGCGGAGAGGTTCCTTAAGAAGTTGGTGACAGGTCTGGCTCCTCGCTCTAAAAAACAAGAATAGAGGGATAGTATGAAAAGCATTTGAATTGTAGAGTAAGTATTTCTGTTTTTCTAGATGACATTTCTTAATGTAAGTGTTTAATTAAAAATCAAGTACAGAAGCCAGAGGTACTGGAACACGTACAATAGCCATAGTCATGGCTGGTCAACATTTTATTACTATAGCTTTTTGTGATAGCTACTGAGCTGCAAACAACTGCTCCAAAAATGAATGTTTTACTAATAACAGTGTTAGTATTTTAACTGTGCTTCTATAATAGTTCTATTTCTTTGTGTGTGTTTTGAATACTCACTGAGTCGCCTCATATTTTCGGTTAACCTGGATAGAAAATACAGAAAAGTGAAGGTCAGAACACACGCACAAGCTTACGTACAAACATAGAAAAAAGCTGGTTTATGTGGTAGAGGAGGTGCTGACACCTTGGCCTTCATCTGCCCGGCATGACTCACTTGCCTTTACAGAGGGGAGAAAGAAGGAACAGAGAAAATAAAGCTAGAGAAGAGCTCTCAACTTCCTCTGTACTCTCTCTGCAATTTACAGCCTGATCTGAACCCATCTCATCTAGCAACCAACATACTGCAACTGAATAGTTCAAAGAAACAGTGAGTCAGCTATAGTGCATTGGTAGCACATGTTAAAAGATACACAGAACAGAAGGATTTTGATTTTCATCTATAGTGCACATTCAAGATCTAAAACATGATTCTCTACTTGTAATAAAAATAAGTCCTGACACAATCTAGGACTGCTGTTGGGCTGCACACCTTTAGTACTCCCCAGATGCCGTCTAGCTGTCTGACTCCACATCTCCTTGAACGACCGCAGAATCAATACCTGAGGACAGACACTTCATGTTCTATTCCAGAGCAGCGCTCACCCACCTTTTAGCACTTAGCGGTTCCTCGGCCTCCACGGTGCTTTCCTCCGGCTGGAAACGGAAGTCTTCGATGTAAACCCCGAAGCGCTCATATACCCACTTTTGCAGCCGCGAACTCCAGACCTCCTTCTGCTGTTTATCTGCTAAAGGGAACGAAAAAATAACATCTTGATAAATTCACTAAACTGTATCAGTCTCAGACAACTTGTGTTGTTTCAACAGTCACACGTGTTGATTCCCTCCACCAATGACAATCTGTTGTTCATATAAGAAGATTGTGATTGGGTAGTTAGACACATTTATCTCATGAGTAATTAGTATGGCTTGTGTTGAAACATTGGGCCACTTAAACCTGGGAGAAAAAACATTTCCGTTCCACAACTGATATTTTGTTAAAACTCCGCCCCTGAACAGTGAATCATAGCTTAGCAACTGTAGCTAGCCTATTTGGATTTCTACATTTGTTGAAGAGCTGTGCATGGGGCTGTCTAAGTTAGAGAGAAAGAAAGTGTGAGAGATACTCTAAGATTTTAGAGCATAGAAGCAGAGAGCAAAAGTGAACAGATTAAACACCATTTATCTGCTGATCACTGTTATTCCACATTCAAAAAAATTTTCACTTTCAAAGTGAACCATACTGTGAAAATATTAAATTATAAATAAGCTTTCAAATCCTCATGTAACTTTTTTTTTTTTTTTAAAGTATATTTTTTGGGGGTTTTATTGCCTTTATTATAGTGACAGCTGAAGATAGACAGGAAAGGGGGGCAGAGAGAGGGGATGACACGCAGCAAAGGGCCGCAGGTCGGACTCGAACCCCGGACCGCTGCAGCAAGGACTCAGCCTCGGTACATGGGTCGCCAGCTCCACCCACCGAGCCAACCGGGCACCCATCCTCATGTAACTTTGGCTTAAATGTTTTAGCATTATATAATCTTTATAGAATAACACACACCAGCTGATGATATTATTTATTTTTCTAAAGATATTTTTGGGGCTTTATATGCCTTTATTTAATAGGACAGGTGAAGACAGGAAAGAGGGGATGACATGCAGCAAAGTGCTGCAGGTTGGAATCAAACGAACACTCCACCAGGTTAACTACCCTGCGCTCCTAAAGACATTAAAAGGTTAGCTGGGGACACACTTTTTTAACTGTGGCCTTAGTAGCATTAGCTTATTCTAGCTAACAGCCTATGCTATGTCCTACAGCTGACAGAATCTGCTGTCAGCTGTCACTTTAGCTGACAGAATCCATGGTTGTCAGCCAAAAATAATAAGTCTGTTATTGTCAAACTGTCTGACATGAAGGACCCATTTCTTTTCAATAATGAGGCAAAAAAAAAGAGGCAACATGGGAACGGCCAGTGGTAGGGGTGGGGCTTAGCAAATGGAAAATTACAGCACTAATGCTGAAGTGCCCCTGAGCAAAGAACACTTACCTCGGTTGCTCTGGTGTAACTGCTAAGTACACACTAATTGACACTAATTGACTGTGGTTGTACTGAACAACTACCCTCAGTGACTGTGAGTGACTGTATGAAATGTGAGGCTGAAAAACGCAGCCTGGGTGTGTGTGTGACGGTGTGTGTTTATCCCCTCAGTGAAATTTTAATATGCAATTATGGCAACATGAAAGCTTTATTTTTCTTCTGATGAAGACATTCTGTTAGAACCCATTATTTTGAATCTGTAGTTTACAGTTACCAAAGTCCCATCAGCCCAAAATGCTCTGTGCATCCTCTCTCCCTTACCTAACAGATTATACTCACTTTCTCTCTGTCCTTTTATCCACACAAACACACACACTCTTAATCCATCCTGAAAAGCCATTGACACCCACACACACACCTCCGATCCCAGTTAGAGCACAGGCATGTCTGCCCTAGATGATGATCTACAATCATAACCCATTTTCCAAAATTAGCCACTCTGTCTCTCCCTCCCTTTCTCTCTCCAACCCCCCAACCCCCCCCCACACACACACACACACACACTTTTATGGCACTGACATCAGCACATCTGTAGTAATGACTGCAATTAACCTCCATAGTAGAATTGTTTTTCATGAATTAATGCACTTTGTTATTGATTGCTTGCTCTTGATACAACTAATTGCACACAGTAAGTACACCATGTAAGTGTGTATTTTCTGTTGTTGCACACATGCTACACACTGTTGTATGTCCTAGAATAACCCAAGAACACTTCTGACACACACTGTCAGCACTCTCCACACTGTTCCCGTCAACGCCCCCACACACACACACACACACACACACACACACACACACACACACACACACACACACACACACACACACACACACACACACACACACACACACACACACACACACACACACACACACACACACACACACACACACACACACACACACACACACACACACACACACACACACACACACACACACACACACACACCCTTGATTTACTCCCACTCACGGAAGACGTCAAAGTCTTCCTCTCCAACTCATTTCCTGCTAGTCCCCCCAGACTACCACCCACCACCCTCTTTCTCTTCCTCCGGGTCTTACCTGTTCCATTGTTTGAGGGCGACTGCTGTTTCCGGGGAGGCTGTGGCGGAGAGTCCTCCAGCCTGGGCAGGGGGGCACATACAGAGAGACAGAGAGACAGAGGACGAGAGAGCGAGAGAGCGATGTGTTAGTCTTACTTCTCTATCTCCATCTCAGACAGAGTTAGACAGGCACATATGGGGATAGAAACAAAAAGAGAAGAAGCAATTTCAGTCTCAATCTGCCTTTGTGAAGTCAATACTCTCACTGTTACAATCCCTTAGCAGGTGCCAGCAAAAACAGAATATGCTTTAGACAATCAAACAGAAATAAGAGAGAAGAGCCTACATTGAGACGAAGACCGCATACACTTCTAAACTCACACCATAGTTTTACACTTCTGTACAATGTGATCCAAGCAAATTCTATGCCACTGTGTTAAATGGAGCAAAAATAGAACATGAATGAGTGTTTCCACAAGTTGTACTGACTGAAATAAATAGATGCAAATGCAATCAAATCAATCCAATACTTTATGGGCTTTGGCATGCTCGTTGCCCTTTTGTCTTTAATGGTTTAATGGTAGTCATATTTCTTGCTAATGGCCAAGAAATGCTAGCTGAAAAAGAAAGGATGTGTTGATATTCTCTCTCTAGAAACACAAAGCAATTCTTTGGTCATTACAAGTTAACAATTTCAGAACATGGTGCAAATTATGGGGAACACCGAACACAGTTTACTATCATAGAAGACTAAGGAGGCAAATGATCACAGTTGAGAAGCACAGGCTTTTTTCTTCAAAACTATTAATCTATTATCAAAACTAATGCCGAGTAACTTTCTGGTGATCATTAATTGACTGTTCTACTAATAACTGCAGCTCCAAAGACCATTTAACCATCATTAGCACTTTATAATGATGAAGTCATTATGAGGCTGCCCTTCCAGCGGACAAAACATGATAAAAGTGCCGTCTAGGTCACCGGTTCTCAACCTTTTTCGAGTTTAGATTCCTGTCTCACATTACGTGCTGCTTGTTATTTTATGCTCCACAACCACTTGGTGACTGTTTCACTACAAATGCATGACAACTTTCTGTGCACTGGTGCCCTTTATATTCTTTTTTTGCCCCTGCTGATCCTAATCCGGTATATTGCCAAGCACTATGCTATGGCTACCATCATCAAAACACCACATGAGGGACTATATTTTGGTAGAATGTTGTTTATCCCTCCAGCACAGTTGTGACTTTAAAGCTCTTCTGTACATGATGGTACACCTTACTGTGACACTTTTATTACCATTAATCACAGTATATTCACACCTGGAAAACCTCAGGAAACCAGAGTGTTTTAATTCTCACCACTAAGCTCCACTGCCCTGCTCAAGAACACTTGGGTAGTACCCACAGAAAAGGAGCACCTACATCTCTCCAGCTGGATACTACTGAGAAAGGATTAACTTTAGAAAACACCCAGGTCATGGTACATTAGTTCACCTCTTACAAACATTCTTGGAGGCCATGTTTCAGTGCTGATAATCACTTGGAGAGCACCAGTGGAATTTCCCACTGGCAGGCACAGAAACATCATCTGATCACACACGCAGCCGTGCATACACACCCTGGGTTTAAGGGTGGCTTGCTCCGTGCCAAGAGACGCAGGCTTTTACTGACACCCGCATAGCTACTGTGTCACAGTGTGCACTTGGCGACACAGACCGGCGCATGACTTGTTTCTGTTTTTTTCTCTCTCTTTCCGTCTCACTCCACACACACACACACACAAACCCACACACACACACACCCACACACCCCCACACCCACACCCACACCCACACACCCCCACACACAGACACACACAGACACACACACAGACACACACAGACACACACAGACACACACACTCTCTCTCTCTTATGGAGTTCCCCGCCTACCAAGTTGCTGAGGCCTCTATTTATAAACAGAAACCTTTGGTAGTACTGGGACTGACATACACAGACAGACAGACACACACACACACACACACACACACCACACCACACCACACCGACACATGCACACCCAATCAGATCTGACCTATGATAAACTCTGCTGAGCTGAAATGTTACAAAGTGCAGTGTCACCATTTCCTGTCATTCCCTAATTATTACTTCCCATCTTGCACATTTAGTTCTCATCTCCTGTCCGCCCACGTCATGCACTTGACTCTGCTCTCTGTCTTTCTGTCTTACCTGGACTTGAGCACCTCATTCATCTTCTGCTCCAGGTCTATCCTCTTGCTTCGCTCTCTCTCCAGCTCCTGCCGCAGAGAGTCCACATTGGTCTCTTCCCGCAGCTTCCTCAGCTCCTCCTCTGGAAAACACAACACAAGCGCTGGAGATCAGCATCTCAAATTTTGATATGAAAACAACGCAACCCCAAGAGCTCCACACACACATTCGGGGTCATGAAAAAGGCATCTTCAAAAGGCAGTGTTCAAGACAGTAATTCAAGCTTTATGTGAAACAAATTTCTCTAAAACATACAATCTAATCTAAAAAGAATATAATTAAACTATGGAAGTGGAAACAAATATGAAGTCATAGAAGTAGAGAGATTTTTGAAAAAACAGCCACTACTTTTGTGTCATTCTGGTTTCATCCCTCCTTCACCTTCACCTCAATCTTCCTCCTTGTCAATCAGCTCTTGGCATTAAGTGGTTTCAGGTATCGGTCTTTCTAAGCCTGGGGTGCAACATCAGCGGTGTTTCCTCTCAGTCTATTGTCCCTGACTAAAGAGACACATGAATATTGGAGGAGAGGAGGCAATAATAAGTGTGTACATGTGCAGAGGCAAAAATAAATGAATAATGCGTACATTTATGTACACAAAGAAAACAGGGAAAAGCACAGAAGTCTTAAAAACACACATAATTAAATCCACATATACAGAAACAGAGGAACTTTTCCATGGCTAGCAAGGCTTTTCTTTAAAAATTGATACTTTGTGAACCTCCATCACCATCTGCTGTGGCACAGCTTTAATTGTAAACAACATCAAACTGAGGATTTATAGGAAATTGTGCAGTATTACAGCACTATACGGTGTTGACAACAGAAGTACAAGCTGTGCCACTAGCACTAAGATCAATATCTTTCCATCAACACAAGAAACATTGCCTGAACCAGTGGTACCCAAAGGGACAGTGAGGAAAGTGATAAAAGCAGGGTCATGCACCCCATGCAAAGGGAAGTGTATATCACCTGGTCTCCCCCCCCCCCCACACAGGCAGTAGGGGATTCATATTACAAGAATTCAGCTGCCAGTTTTCTCTTTCTCATCACCTAATCTCATATCTCACTCGTCCTTTATCGCTTCCCATTAACCCTAATAAAACATGTATTGCAAGCACCTCCTGCATCTAACAAATCGGCGACAACGCTGTGTAGTCTTACTGAGAGGACATGCAGTGGATTTCCAGATCCCACATACAGTAATCTACTTGCTTAGAAAAATCTTCTTTTGCATTTCTGCTTTAGTAAGAGCAGTAGGGCACATTTCGGTCTTCCATGTGTTGGTTGGTGTTGGTTGGTTTTCTTTTCCAACGCTTCAATGCAAAGTAGGATTCTTTACTCTTCATTCACCTATGTCATATGACTTCCCCTACACTTTCACCTCTCCGCTGACTCAGTTTGCCAGTCTCCCTATCTGCTAACATAAAAATGTGTTTGTGGTATTTGTGCATGTAAACAAGACAGAGGGAGTGTGTGCGTCTGTGTGTGTGTGTATAAAAGTAAGCAAAAAGCCATCCAAAGGTTGCTATGGGCTAAGCAGCTTAGCACTGGCTAGGTTCCCCTGTGCCCAGAGATACACAGCCAACTGTAAACCTATTAGACAAATGGCTAACAGAAGCAGCATTGCACCCTGGGTGGTGTAGGCAGAGCTAGATCAGTGGTTTACGCTGTACTGAACGTTACATTTAACAGCAACAGCAGGGGCCCATGGCAATCTCAATAGGAAGAAATGGCTTAAAAAATTATTTAATACTTTGTCCCGTCAGTCAAACAAACTGGTTGAAAATGAAAGCAAAGAGTGACAATACACTATGTCAGCGATACTCAAGATTCATTTGGAGTCGCATTTCCAACCACCTGACGTATGCAATTCCAAGACTGCGAAGAGGGGGTTTTCGGTGAAAACAACTGCCTCTGCAGGTTGACGAAAGAGGTAAGACTGAACCAACAGCAACAGTTGCAGGACATTAAACCAAAACAATGAGCAGAAACATGCTAAAAGCTGACGGAAACTGCAGAGTCGGGCGATAATTCTCTGTGGGTTTGAATGTCCCCTTTCACATCACAACACATGTTTTCTCCTATTCTAAATATAAAAATATTGATTAGCACTGCTTTAAGTTACTTCAATTTGTGGTTGTCGGAAACACCGAAATTAAATGATTGATCACCCAAAGAACGGAGCCCTATAGTCAGACAGTTATACCTTTATAAACACAACGATGAATAACCCACAACTAAAACACAACACACAACATATATTGTATTTACTATACACATATGATGCTGTCACTCATTTACTGTTGTCCATACCCTCCCCTGATCCTGTTCACCTTTTACCCTCTTTAACATCACCACACTGTCGCTCCCTTCCCTCCCCCGAATTTCCTGCCCCCATACATTACTCCTTCCCTTCACCTTGTGGAATTTCTGTGTGTATACAAAGCTCTACACCCTTTTCCTCTCCATAGTTTCCTTCCTTCCACACTGACCACTTCCTTCTTAACACCAGAAACAGAGATGCCTCATTCCGTGAGTCCATAATACTGTGTTAGATGGGGGGCCGCAAGCATGTGATACAGCACAGCATGATACAATATGCTATGTGTGTCAGACACAGACAGAGTACAATCGTTTCCTGTTCCACAGAGGCCCTCTACATCAGATAGCATATTAATAATACTGTCAACATGCCTGTTCCGCTTCCAAAATTGGATTGCCGTCTTCTATATATAAATCTTCATCCTGGGTTACCATATCACAGGGTCTCTTTGGCCATTATGAAGGCTAGTAACTAGACCATTTATCAGAGACAGGGGATTAGCTAAATGCCATGCCAGGAGATGTCACTTCTAATAGCGTTGACCTTCTCTTCCATGCAGGGTTGCCATGAAACTCTATAAAAAAAAAAAAAAAAAGCTAAACACACAAATTATATTATCTTATATTATCTACTAATAAAGGTTGGAAAGCAGCAGGAAATACTAGTGATGTTGTGGGACAGTAATTACGTTATGAGGATGCAACTGAGGCCAAGTGGAGCTAATGTTTAGTTTAGTTTGGGTAATACAGTACAATCAGTATCAGATAAGGTTAAAGTCACAAGATGAAGATGGTCAAGTTGTAGTTAGGTGGTTAAAAGGAGGAGGTTAAAGGTGAGCAAAAAATTCTGAAATGTTGAGTTTTTAAGATATAATTTTAAGATTGCCATGGGTTAAGGTCCTGTTTGTCTGAGTACATTTGGACAAAATGGATGAACAAAACTTACTGTAAGTTCTAGTCAATTGGATGGTTTGAAAAACTTGCAGAGTAAACAAAAACACAATTGGGAAATGTTGTGGAGCCTTGGAGCAGCTCAGGTGGCATCAGCAAGACTCAAGTGTCATATGACAGACTTCCTTTATATCACATGGCGCAATCATTTTCAAAATGAACACTGTGACACAGAATTGAGAAATTAAGACCTGTACTTTGCTAACTACCATTGTATGCTTTTAATCCATATTTCGTTGAATTCAGCAGGCAGATCCAGACTCCACCTCAAGGCACCTTGCACCGGTTTCAACATTCAGCCAAGGGGACTGCTGTTTCTGTGGTCATGATTCACCTCTGAGGGGGAGCTGCTATTTTTAGTTGGCCAGAGATGAGTTTGGGTTTACAAATGAGGTAGACCTGGGTTAATGTACCAAGGTTGACCAGATTTGTGTTGACAAATATTTATCTCACTACGGTAGAGGTTATCTAGCAAATGGAGACTCAAAACTGATTGACATCATGGATTTTATCAGGTGACAGATACAACAAGGACGAGGCTATCAAATTCCTTGTTATTGATTTTGTCCATCTTGCCAGGGTTGAACAATAAAAAACAGAAGTTTACAGTACCACCTATATATAGTATATATACACACTCTGTACAATACAGTACAGTGTGGTTGCTAATCAAGGCTGGCTAATGTACAGAGGCCTTAGTTATCTTATTCAAGTTTACAGCACAATTTAAATAGGTTCAACTAACTAACCCTAACCCATAAATTCCTGACTTTGAAGCTAACAAACTTACTGAGGTTGAGGTTACTTTTGTGGCTTTTGATCTTATCGACAGCTCCACTGTAAAGCAGCTCAAAGCTATCAAAGGTGCAGTCCTCCAGCTTGCAAAAACCCATCCGTCTCTGCAGTCGGCCTGTCCCTGGCAAACTCGTGCAGGAGCGGGACGGCAGAGTGGCCGCCCTGGTTCTATCTTGAAATTGAGCCACGGTTACAGGTTATCCCGGTGCGATCCAGCTTGTTTAGCACCCTTTGCTACCTAATGACATAAAAACTTCTCAAATCCCATCAAACTTCGGGCTCCATCTTTACATGTCCCATCCCGAGACAAAGCAGCGGTCAGGGACTGGTTCCGCTGTGCTAATCTGTCACTAGTAACACAATGAGACTGTTCTGCTAGGCCTCCACAAACTGAGAGTGATGGTCAGTGGTCAGAGCTGGTCTGAGTGTGTTAGGCACTTGGTAAAAAGAGAAGTAGGGCAGTGGAGGTAAAAAGAGGTGGGGCTTTGCTGGGTGGCCAGCAGACTAAGAGGGCCTGGAATCTGAGATTTCTGAGCACACTGGAGCTGTCAGAAACACACACATTATGCAAGTTCATGTGTCAGTATGAGTTTACTGGAGTGGCTGTGTACATATTTGTGATCCATGTGTTATTGTTTGTGCATGCTCACATTTGTGTGCAGGAACATGTGTGCAAGGATACGTGCATGAGTACTGTACATACGCAACCGAAGCAAATCGCTTTTCATCTAAGCAGGCAAAGTTTTTAAGACCTCAAAGGAAAAGTACTGTGTGAGTTTTTCTATCCAGGTCAGAGACAATGGCTGCTTTCATTAAAGGAAGGTGGGGGCACAGGGGGTTGAGAGAGAGAGAGAGAGAGAGAGAGAGAGAGAGAGAGAGAGACTGCTTCACATTGGCCTCTCATTGTTCCCATTCTCTACAGTGTTTGCCACAACACTGGTTGACTTGAGCATAAAAGAAGCTTGGGCTTTGTGGCCTCCAGCTGATCTGCAGGTGTTAATACACCATTCA